GGCTCAGTTGATGGTGCTGGAGGGAACGTAGAAAGCATTGCCAAAGATTATCAAATCTTGGACAAGAAACTGAAGATCACGGAGACACAAGTGGAATTTTTGCTGCACATTGCAGGCAAAGAATACGAAAGAGAAATATTTGATTCAAGAAGTGATTAACTGGTTAAGGAGATGGTTCCTGAGGTTAGTATTTGGATTTCTGGGATCATAGCTTAAAATACAGGAATGCAGATTCCTGGCCTGTGACAACGTGTACTTAACAAAGGCTAGTAAGAATCTATTTCCCTGGTATTTTGCGAATCTAATCAAAAGCACTTTAAATTAAAATGGATGAGTGAGGAAGAAGACTGCCTATGTATATCAATCAAGCTAAGACACCATAGAAAGTAGCTACAAAGAAGAAAGAATTATATTTGAAATACTCAAAAAGTCACAGGAGAAAGAATCCAGGAAAGGAGCCAATAGTAAAAACCCTGTCCTTAAAATATCTGTCCACAAATGCCAACAGTTTAGGCAACAAGCAAAACAAACTAGAAGTTCTAACAAAAGCATGAAATTTTTAATTTAGGTATACTGAGACTAGGTACAATGAAAGCTGTAACTAGTATGTGGTTCTGTACAGATGATTCCGGTCAGGAGGAACCAGATAGGGGTGGGGTAGGGTAGCATTATATATTAAGAAGTTACTCATATAGGAGGAAATTCAGGAACCAGAGTGGGTAAGCATGGTGGGAAATGATTGGATGAAGAACAACAGAGGGAAAAGTAGAAGAGATTTTGTAAATGGAGTATGCTACAGACCACCTGGACAGAAAGAAAATAGTTGAGGAATTCGGGAAATAGATCAGAAGCCTGGCATATAATTGTGGTGAAGTTATGTTTAGGGCTTCAGCTAACCAGACATCTGGTAGAGCTTTCTTTATGCCAAAAACAGAGCAGCAAATGACTTCTTGACTTGTCTTAATGATGATTTCATCCTTGACAGAGTAGAGGAACTGGCAAGGGGAAATTATATTCTGGACATGATTTTCACTAACAGGGAAGAACTGTTTTCCAGGGTAGAAACGATGAGAACTTGTTGGGGACGAGGTGCCTACTTCCTGTTAGAATTCATGATAGAGGAAAGGAAAGTCAGGAATAGCCAGACACTCACCCTAGGTTTTAGAAGAACAGATTTCAAAGAGTTCACAGCAAGGACAAAATTCTATAGATAATGTCAGTCCAGGGAAAACTCTTAAGAATGAAATTCTGAAGAAACAAAGGAAAACAATTCTGATAAAAAGGAAAAATCAGATTTGTCTGAAGAGTCAAATGTAGATGCACAAAGAATCCAACAACCAACTTAGAGGGTTTTTTTAAAAGCATGGACAAAAGATGGAAACAGAGGATTAGGACAGAGTGTCTACACAGTGCAGCAGTAATACTATCAGAAAATTTAAAGCTCAGAATGAGTTGAGGCTGGCAAAGAAAGCTAAGGACCATAGAGTTTGTTTGTTTTTGAACTTACATTGGGGAAAAAAGGAGGGTAAGAGAAGAGAAAAGACAGTTACAAGAAGTGGATAAGAGAGTGATAATTAAAAGCAGAGGTAAGGCAGAGTTGTTCAGTTCTACCAAGGACAATGACCTTCATACCAGAAAGGACAGAACAAGAATGGTTCTTAGAGAATTAAGGCCAGAGATTAGGAAGAAAAGAGTAAGACAGTACCCGAATGCCCATGGTGAATTCACATCGGAAGGCCCAGATCAACCAAAATCTTGAGTCTTTAAAAAACTAGCAGAGGTGATCGCTGAGCAACTATGGATGATATTTGAAAGATGATAGAGAACAAGAGGAGTACTTCAGGACTAGAAAAGGGCAAATATTGTCCCATTTCTTTAAAAAGGGAAGACAATAGAGCTGCATATTATAACAGGATCCTATTGAGCTTGACTTCCAATCCTAGCAACATTCTAAAAGAGATGATTATAGAGGTGATTGATGAAAATCTAGAAAAAAGAAGCAGTGATCATCCCCACAAAAAATCAGCATGGCTTCCTTCATCTAGAAAAGATCATGCCAGACTAACCACATTTCCTCTTTTGATAGAATCATTAAAAAAATAAATCAGGGGGGTGCTGGGTGTAGATGGAGTTTTGTAAACTATAGCCATAGACTTTAGCAAAGCATTCACTAAAGTATCTCATCTTACTCTTCTGGAAAAAAAAATGGAGAGATGTGGACCAGATGACAGTCTAATTAGATGAATTCAGAACTGATTGAATGACTAGACTCAAAGAACAGTCAATAATGGTTTGATGCCAACTTGGCAGAAGGTTTCCACTGCAGGATCCCAGAGATCCCTGCTTAGCCCTACCTGTGCCACTTAACCTTTTTATCAACGACTTGGACAAAGGCTTAGATGGCACCCATCCAATCTGCAGATGAGACCAAGCTGGGAAGGAGAGCTAAGATAGTATGTGAGAGAGCCAGGATCTGAAAAGATCTCTACAGGATAAAATCCTGAACTAAATCTAATAAAAGGAAACTTTAATAGAGATAAACATAAAGTCTCACACTTGGGTTTGAGAAAAATCGATTTCACAAGATGAAAGAGATATGGTTAAATAGAAGGTTGCCTGAATAAGATTTGGGGATTTTAATGGACTGCAATTGAAATATAAGTCAACAAAGTGATAAGGCACCCCATAAAACTAATGGAATCTTTTTTGTTGTTGGTCAGTCATTTCAGTCACGTCCAACAATTTCTGACCCCATTTGGGGTTTTCTTGGTAAAGATACTGGAGTGGTTTACCATTTCCTTCTCCAACTCATCTTACAGATGAGGAAACTGAGGCAAACAGGGTTAGCTATGTTAAAAGAGTCATGACTTCTGAAAATAAGAATATGATACCTCTACCATATTTTGCCCTGGTCAAATTATATCTGAAGTATTGTGTTTGGTTCTGAATGCTGTTGTTTAGGAAAGACATTGATCAGTTGGATATCATCCAGAAGAAAGCAACCATGATAGCAGTAGTAGCAGCAGCAGCAGCAGCAGTAGTAGTAGTAACAAAGATTTATATTGAGCCTACTGTATGCCAGGCAATGTAATAAATGTTTTACAAATATTTTCTCATTTGATCCTCACAACAACCCTAGGAGATAGGAGCTATTATTAGCCCCATTTTACAGTTGAGGAAACTGAGGTAGAAGGAAGTTAAATGATTTGCCCAAGGTCTTGTGTTTATGCCATATGGGGACTGGAGAGGAGAAGATCATGTATGCCAAATGGAAAAGGACACTAGTGGTAGGGAAAGAAATTTTATTTTCAAGCTTTTAAGAGAATATTACAAACAATGGAGAGTTAAAAAAAACCCTAAAAACTAGTTAAAAAAGTACTTGACAGTGTCCCTTTAATACCCATAGATGACTCAGCCATTGTGCATTGAAGAAGATACTCTGTTAATCCCAAGCCTTGGTAGACTGGCATGGTCAAGGGTCCTTTAGGCTGCCACGTAGGCTCCTATGGATCCCAGTGGCCTGGCCACCAGCCTCAGACAACCAGGGACATCTGGCTGCATGGGGAGGAGCAGGTAATACATCAATCTTCTGGGCATGGAGGTAAGTCTGAACTGCCTTTATCAGGTGGAAAACAAGCAGCAGGGACTACTTTTACCCCATCTCTCCTCCCCACTTTTGCCTGATTCTCCCCTCTCTGCTCCCACCTACCTCTCAAACACAATTGTCTGGAGGTGAGATTGGGGTAGAAGGGTGCCCTTCTGTGGTGGGGGGGCCTGGGTTTGTGCAATCATTCCAAGGTGGGGGAATATGCCACATTAGCTTTGCCCTTGCCCTTGGGTAGAGTTTGGTTAGCTGGGAAGGTTGGTTTCCTGGATTGGCAACTTCGAAGGTTGAGACCATAGCAGGACTGTGCTTGAGATACCCACGGAAAAGCTGTACTTTTTCTGTTTGTTTTGTTGTTGTTATTGTTTTAAATGTGTACATGTGCTTGGTCGGTTTTTTTCCCCTATAAACATTTTTTTTTCAGTCAAATCACCTTAAAATACAGTTATGGGGGCACAAGGCCCAACTCTAAACCCAAACCTTTTGGGTAACACACTCAAAATAGGGTTTCCTGTCTTTGAGGCAGGGGCCAGAGAGATACTCACCACCTTTAACCACTCACACTAAGGAACCTCCCCCTGCCTAAAGTCAACACTTTCCCCTCCCTAATGCCCCCCCTAAAACCAGATGAGTATGCTGATATTGCCAGCCAGGAAGAGCCCAAGGCTCTCAAGAGATGTGCTCAAACCCTGCCCTCCCTTCCCACCCACTGTCCCCACCCTTTAGTCCCTCCCCACTGTCCCCGGCCCACTGTCCACTGCCCATGGCCTGGGGAGAACAAAACAAACCCAAAGATAGAAACAAAACAGGGCAACAAATACTTGTCATCTTTCAATTATCTTCACGCTTTATCTCCCTTCACACGTGCATGTGTATGCATGTGTGCACACGTGCATGTTTGCATCGTGTGTCAAGAGAGCTACTGTTCTTGACAACACTGTCATCAGACACACCAGTTTGGCCCCCATCTCTGCACTGCCTCCACCAGTGGTTTTGTGTGTGTCCCTGCATGTGTCCCAGCACGTGTCTACATGTGTCTACATGTGTGTTCACCCACGTACGTCCATCTGTGTGCCTGCATGTGTGTGTACACCTGTGTGTCCCCACCTGTGTGTCTGTCTCTATGTGTCTGCACATGTGTGTCCACCTGTGTGTCTGCCTGTATGCACCTGCCTGCATGTGTCTGCATGTGTGTGTCCATCTGTGTTTCTGCATGTGTGACTGCCTGCATGTGTGTGGTCACCTGTGTGTCTGCCTGTATGTGTCTGCATGTGTGTGTGTTCCCATGTGTTTTTGTTTTAGCTTGTATTGTACTTTAAGCTCTGAATTTATTTGTATTTGTATTTTTTCTTTTTTGTTTCTGTTCTTGTTAAGGAGAGTTTACTACCTGGAAAACACCAAATGCCCAGAGGGCTCCTTCTTGCCATCTGACCTAGGACCAGACCAGGCTGATGCCTTGGAGGACTCCTATGAAGGCATCCTGCCTTCTTCTCCCCACTCCCCCAGCCTCTCCTCATCCCGCACCCTCTCCAGCCTGCTCTCCCGCCCCTCTGGTGATGCGTGCCCACGTGTGTCCACCTCTGCTCCCTCTCCTTCCCTCCAGCTGGTCTCGGGCTCCCAGGCTCTCAAGGTTAAGGCCTCCCTCCCGCTTCCTGCTCTCAGACCGTGGTGACCCTCATGACAAGCTCTCGGTTGCCACCAGAGGGGCTGCGCTGCTCGTGAGGTCTCAGGTGACTCAAGATGTGCAGGATGGTGTAAGCACAGTGGTGATCGGCCAGAGGGCCAGAGGGGTGACTGGGGGGCCGGTTCCCTCCGCCACCGCCACCATCGCCCTGGGCAGGGTTGCCCACAGCCTCCTCTTCTGAGGAGGCAGCGGCGTCGGCCTGTGTGGATGAGGAGGTCCTGGGGTTTGTCCTGCCGCCGGCCTTCTGGTCCTCGATGTCCTTTGTCTTGTCATAGTTCAGCACTTTCCATTGCTGGTTCACAGCCTGCCAGCGTTTAAAGATCCGGTACACAGATGGCCCCTCGTGGATGATCAAGCCTGAAGTGACAGAAGGAGAGAAAGAAGAAAACCGACATTAGACAAAGAAAAACAAGAAACAGGTACAAACGGGGGTGGGCTGATAAATGTTTAACAACCGGCTCTCCAAAAAAAAAATGCACCCAGGCAGGAAACACTTTTAAGTGTAATCTGCGATATTAACATTTCCTCCATCATTTTCTTAAGTCTAGAAAACAACATTCAGCTCCTGGGCTCTTCCTATAATTAGCAGCATGAGTCAGCACAAAACCTATACCAATCAATGTGTACCACTAAAGGAGGGGCCAATAGGAATTAAGCTCCTCAAGGTGACCAGTGGTAGTTGTGCCCATGGGTAAGCTATGTAGAGACCCCACGTTCTTCTCACACAGACATGGAGTTGGTACATACCTACCCATAGGTACAACTACAATTGGCCATCTTGGGGAGCTTAATTCCTATTGGGTTATCTGAATCACTAGAATTCTTCATGAATGGCTATTGCTGGGTCGGCGGTGGGGGGATAAGGAAGAAAGAAAAGGAGGAAGTTAGGAAAGAAGGGAAAAAAGGAAGGAAAGAAAGGAAGGCAGAAAGAAAGGAAGGAAGGAAAAGAAGGAAAGGAAGGAAAGGAAGGAAGGAGAGAAAGAAAAAGGAAAGAAAGAAAGAAAAAGAAGAAAAGAAAGAAAGAAGGAAAGGAAGGAAGGAAAGAAAGAGAAAGAAAGAAAGAAAGAAAGAAAGAGAAAGGAAAGAAGGAAAGAAAAAGAAGAAAAGAAAGAAAAAGAAAGAAAGAGAAAGAAAGAAAGTTACTCTTCTGGTGATGTGCATCTTCAAAAATTTAGCTAGGAAGGTCCTCTGCAAAGATACTTTGTTGGGGGCCCCATACCTGAAATCTTTCCAGTGTGGTAAAACCTCCCAAAGCTTGTAATCTGTTTTCATAGCTTTGAAAACTTGAGGTTACATCTATACCCAGCTCAGCTATTAGAGTTGGACGTTAGTGAAGGCATTCCTTAATAAAACTTAGACTCAGTGAAACATCACTAGCAGAGCTAAAAGGTACCTTAGAGACCCTCTAGTAGACAGGGATTTTTAATTTGGGGTCCACAAACTTGTTTTTATTTAACGAAAAATGTTCAATAACTGTATTTCAACCCCAATTCAAAACCAATGATTGGTTTCCTTTGTAATCCTATAGACTGGATTTTTATCATTTTAAAGACCTTATTTTGAGAAGGGGGTCTTAGTTTCACCAGATTACAAAAGGATCCATGACACAAAAGAGGATGAGAAGCCAGGTCTAATCCGACCTGCTCATATTAGAGATGAGAAAACTGAGACCTAGATAGGGAAAATGCCCAAGATCACTTAGCTAGCTGTTGGTGGTGGTGGTGAAAAAAGGAAGGAAAAAAAGAAGAGAAGGGACCAAAGTGGGCTGAATCCTTTCAAATTTTCAAATGACTATTTCAACTATACGTAGTTGACATAATTTCTAATTAATTCCTTGTTACAGTGAATATATAGTCTGATTGAAGAGGGTGGTTTAAATATCCTGCCTGAATGATGCCTTCTAATTATCTAAATATCTATTGCTTGGGAAGTAATTACACCATAGCAATGGAAAGGAGGCCAAAGGGAGCATGCACCTGTTTTCTCAGATAATACTTGCTTGCCAAAGAAGAACTCTGAGCATCATCGTTCACTTCCACTTCCCCTGATCCTGCTTTCACTTCCTGTTGCTGCCATTCTACAAATTGCTTATTGATTCCTTTGCACTAGGTGGGAATCAGGAAGTGGTCAAATGGAGATGAGGTTGGGAGAGCTGAGCTGTGACTCCCGAGTTTGCACCTGGGGCAATCAGCACTAAATGGGTTCCCAATTCTTTGGGAATGCCTTAATTCAAGTCTCAGAGAAGCTACGGGGAAAGGCGTACTGGCAAGACCGGGAAGGTACTTGTTTGGGTGGGATGCTTCTCAGTTTATTTCTTATTCTTGCTACCATGGTGCTAAGCTCCTATTTCTACACTACTCAAAGGGCATGAATGCAGTGTATGACTGCTATGCTTTATTTGCTCCATTTGCCCCACCCAAACTATGGCTTTATGAGAGAATTGAAAAAAAAAAGATTTGGCTATGTGGGAGGCAAAGGAAATAAACCTTTTATCCGTTAAAAATAAATTTAATTAAAAATATTCACAGAAGGTGGGGAGGAGACTGGCTGAGTGGGGTAGATGGCAGCTATAGTGTATCAGAAAGGGCACTGGACTTGGAGGTGGAAAACCTGAGTAGCTCAGCTCCTTATTAGCTGTGTGACTTTGGATGAATAACCTCTCTGATCTCAACTGTAAAAAGAAGGGATTGGGGGCAACTAGGTGGCGCAGTGGATAGAGCACTGGCCCTGATGTCAGGAGGACCTAAGTTCAAATCTGGCCTCAGATCAAACACTTGTCACTAACTAGCTGTGTGACCTTGGGCAAGTCACTTAACCCCAATTGCCAAAAATAAAGGGGGATTGGATTTGAGGATCCCTAAAATTTCTTCTAACTCTAAGTAATATGATCCTGATAATGAGAAAGGTGGAAGTAGGTCAGGGGCAGAGAGGGAAGACATGGAAAGGAGAGGAGAATCGAAAGGAGAACAGGGGAAAGGATGAGAACAGAAAAGTGAGGACAGAAAAAAATCAGAGAAGAAAAGATGAGAGTGTTTGCTGCAAGAAATTGGGCTTAAAGACATAAATGGTTTTCCCCAAGAGTTCATGCAGTTTCACAAAGTATCTTTCCAGCACTAATCATGTGCCTAGCACTGTTAGGAATGCAGTGAGGGACACATTTCCCTGAAATTGCCCTCTCCATCTTCTCAGCTTCTTGAGAAATCTTAAAGCTCTTGTTTTCAGAAGTTTAGTATTCCTAGGCAGGCAGGGTGCTCTAGAGGTAGTCTGGTTGCTTTCTGTACCCTGCTTTCTGCCAGAAGTCCTGAATCTGTGAATTATAGCCCACCCCTCAGGTCAGATAGTCTGGGTAGGTGCTATGCCACTGAGTGGGGTGGTGGGGTGGTGGTGATCTTTTTTGCAGTGATGGAAATTCCACAGCTTCTCCATCTTTGTGCCTCTAAGTCTCATACCCTTTCCTGGCACAGAGTTCTTCCCCCAGGTCTAATCCCCACCCTCCCCTGATTGGTTTCCCAGGACATCTTGCTCTGTCCATGGTGAAAGCTCAATTTAATTCATACAGTTGGGAAACGCAACTGGTTGCTATCCTCTGAAGAGCAACCATTTGTGGCTGAATTAGAATAAGCCTCCTGAGAAGCTCAGTGAGCTTGTGAGCTCACTCCAGCGGCGAGCCCACTGAGAACTCCAGCAGGAAGTCACTTATCTTGGATAAGTTCTTTATGAAGAGTTTTCATTTTTACTATACGAAGCTTTGGTTTTCAAAACCCAACTTTCAACGCAACTGATAGGGAAGCATGAGGCAATCTTAGAAATTCTTCATCATCAAAACTTTTTAGCATATTTATTGAGTTTGCTACTGTATCAGGTGAAGCTGGCCTGGTAAGAATAGAAAGGCAGGCAGTTAAGTGGTGTAGTGGATAGCGCACTGGACCTGAACTCAGGAAGATCTGAGTTCAAATCCTGTCTCAACTGTGTACTAGCTGTGTGACCCTAGCCAAGTCACTTAACTAGTCTCAGCCTTGACTTCCTTACCTAGAAAATGGGAACAATAATAGCAACTGTTTCATGATTTTGTTATGGGGATCAAATGAGATAATATGTATAAAATGCTTTGTAAACTTTAATGTGCTATATATAAATGCTAGTTATTATTTTTTTGAGGGGAGGCAATTGGTGTTAAGTGACTTGCCCAGGGTCACACAGCTAGTAAGTGTCTGAGGCCACATCTAAACTCAAATCCTCCTGACTCCAGGGCTGGTACTCTATCTACTGCACCACCTAGCCACCCCGATGTTAGATATTATTAAAAGGAAGAGAAAGCACAGTTCTCTTTTCTCAGTGGCCCCAACTCAGCTCCTGCACACCTCCCCTCCAGTGTCCTCACAGCCTTTGCTCCTCTCTCACAGTGTCCCCCCCAGCCCTTGTCCCTCCTTATCTAGTGCCCTGCTGCAGTGCCTGACCCTTTCCCCCTCCCCTCAAAGTGATGCGTTAGTCCTTTTCCCCACCTTTACTTCTGACACAATTTTCTCAGTGCTTCTAGTAGCAAGGTCAGGCAACATTGGCCCAGAGAAACTCCTGGTCGCACTCCATCATTGTGTCCAGGCTTGATGTCAGGCATAGCCTGCAGAGCTCCATTTCTCAAGCTGCTAGTTCTCCAGGGCCCCAGTTCTACCCTTCTGAGTGCCAGTCTGGTACAGACAGAGACTACCCTGAAGCAAACATCAGGCACGTGTAGGAAGCAAGTTATTTTTAGTGGGCCTGGCATCACTGGGAAGTGCCAGATTGGCAATGCCGCTGACTGCTTGATCATCCCTGGGCAGTCTGAGCCTGCTGGCTATCCCCACTCCCCAGTACTTGGCAAGCTTTGCCCCTGAGATTCTCTGAGGGGTGCTGGAGGAGGTGGGAATGGATTCCCCAGGCCCTACCCCAGTCTGGGCCTTTTGCCAGAGCCTCATGAGCAGGCAGGCTTCTGGGGAGCCCCTCACTTTGGATATTCTTCTTAAACAACCAAACCCCTATAGTTGAAGGTTTAGGAGTAGAATTTTCTTGTCTAAGCATTTCTCCTTATGTTTCCGTGCTGGTCACTCTCAGGGAGATGGCTTTTTAGATGGTAGGGAATAGCCAGAAAGTTCTTCAAGAAGCAAGCCATAGTACATAGAGCACTGGGACTGGAGTCAGGAAGAGGTGAGTTCAAATCCAGTCTCAGATATTTACATTGGTCAAGTATCATGCCTTTTCTGGGCCCCATTTTCCCCATTGTCATCAGCCTTATGAACCATCCTGCCACTTTCTCTGACCTCACAGTGATAGTATGGGGATAGATGAGATAAATCTTTGGCAGGAAATTATAAACTGGCAGA